AAAACTGTCACTATATCCAAAAGAAAATGCTGATCCTGAGAAATTGCAACTCCTTGACAGGGCCCAGGAGATAGCAGAAAGTTCTGGCACCTTGCAGGACTGAAACAATCCCTGTAGAATCATTAAAGGAGATATTTTATCTACTTCAAATTGAATTCTCAGCAACCTCATGCTTGTTTAACAGCCTTGGCAATAGAAAGTGAACTGGGAGTACCAGCTTCTATCCATGCAGGCAGGCCACGAGCTATCAAACTGGCAACCATGATGGCAGTACTCAACATATTTGAACTTAGTGCATAAATATGGCAATGAAATATATACATATTAGGGTGTGTCCATATATATATATATATATATTAGGGTGTAATAAATTCACATCCACACAAAAAAAAAAAAAATCACCTGTCTCAGTCAGAAAACTGGATTACCTATTCTTCATCAGACCAGGACCAGACTTTCCTCACAGGCACAAAGACCAGATTTTTCAGCTGAGTATTTCTAACACTGAATTCTGTTCACTGGGTAGATATGGCTGGAGATGAACAACTGTTTTTTCCCACTTCTCTGTTCTATGGTACCTATGTGCTATACCACAGCTTAGAAGGTGTGAAAGTATAAAGCCTAATCCAGGAAGAGCATGGAGCTAACCCCCAAAGGTTGCAGGTTTGATTCCCATTCACTTGAGAGCTGGACTCGGTGATCTTTGTGGAACCCTTCCAACTCAGAATATTCTGTAACTCCTGTCTGTTGTAATTTAAAATTAAGCAAAACCCTTTCTCTTTAGCAGCTCATCTGACCCACCCTTAAGGTATAGTGTTCAGAGGCAAGATATATGATGTATGAGGGGAAAACAGTAGCAATGAGTCTGCCTCTGACTGCCCTTTATTTGAGAATAAGTTCCATTTTACTTCTTAAAACCAGGTGGGTTTTCTATTGGGTTGGCCTTCTTGGTTATGCTGAATTAGATTTTTTTCTATGAATATTACAGCTGCTTAAAAGCAACCCAGCTGTAAAAGCAAAACAGCTCTCCTTGGTTTCTTCTTGCGAGTTTTATAGTTTGCTTAATTTTCCTTTAACCTGACCTCAGGAGACCTTCTCAGGCATACACACACACAGAGACACATAAGAGCCTCTAAGGAAACTTTGTAGTCAAGCACCAAGACTAATAAAAGCACTATTCATCTAACTAATATATGGAGCTTTTAGTGATGAGTCAACCTCTCCAGTAAAACTAGAGACAGTTTTTTGTCAATTTATCCAACTCAGCAATAAGCAAAATGACTATATATACATTCTAATGCAGATGTATAAGTCAGAGTACCATCACAGGTAATGTGCAAGGTGAAATTTGGGGCTAAGGGTCTGACCAAAGTTTCATGTGCTAGGTGTGGTTTATGATTTACCTCTTTGACTATTTTTCATTTTGGCAGCAAATTCCGGCTCGTCATGCCAATTTAACGATTTTACTATCTGAAAGTTGTACAAACAGCTACTCAGTTTTATTTTTTCCAGATTAGGCTTACATGTTTAGAAAGCTTTATCAAGCTGAATTACCATTCTTAGGCAAACTGGAGATATGACAAAAAGGTTTTGCTGTGCTATGGCATCTCTTAGAAAAGCTGACTGTATTCACTGATGCAGAGTAGGGAGGAAACTGCAGTTGCATTTTACAGCTCCAAGAGGAATAAGGGTGATAAAACCTATTTTCCACCTGCCAGGGGAAAAAAGGTTGGACAGCACGAATAGCTGGGTTTGCCCGCAGGAAACGAGATGGGGTACCCGTGGGAAAGAGGACTGGAAAAGAAGGAGGGTACCGGGAAAAGACAAGCACGGCAGCAGGAACTCGCATCAGAGCGGCTTAACTTTCAGCAGCATCCTCCTCCTCCCCGGGCTGCTGCTCCCCCCACCCCTCCCCGGAGGATACAGAGGGGATGTTTCCGCGCCCCTGGGCCGGCAGTGCGGGGACGGACGGGGCGCTGGACGCCCCCCGCCGCCCCGAAGGAAGAGGAAGCGGCGCCGGGCCCGCAGGAAGTGTCGCTGCCCCGCGCCCGTCGCCCCCGGCCCGGCCCGGCGGCCGCTGCGCGGGGGCGGCCCGGGCGCTCCGCGGGCGCTGCTCCCTGACAGGTGGCGGCGGCGGCGAGAGGCCTCTGGCTCCGCGGGCAGCGCCCGGCAGGATCGCCTGTCACTCGCGGCGGGCCGCGGCGAGGGCTCGGGCTGCCGCCCCCCTCGCCCAGCGGCGCACCTGCCCTGCCCGCCCCTACCTTGTTGAGGTGGGGGTCGCGGAGCACCTCGTAGCCCCTCTTCATGGTGAGCTGCAGGGGTCGGCCGGCGTCCCGCCTGCTCTCGGCTGCCTTCCTTGCTTGCATGGCGAGGCGCGGCGGGGCTCGCTGCCGTCAGGTCGCTGCAGGAGCGGAGGCGAAGCGGCGGCTCCTCCTGCCGAGGTGACTGCCCGGCGGGGTGGGATGATCCTGCCGGGAGGGAGGGAGGAAGGGAGAGAGGGAGGGGGCAGAGCCACGGCGAGACGCCGCCACCGGGAGGGGGTCACCGGGGCGCCGCTGAGTCACCGGCAGCTCCGCGCACAGCCGGGCGGCCGCCCAGGTGCGGGGGGGGGAGGGGGGTGCAGGAGTGCAGACCCGCGGCCCTTCCCGGACCTGCCCGGGGGTGCAGGGTGTGCGGGCTGCGCTGCCTTTTAGCGCTGCAGAGAGCCAGTCCGGACCGCCCGGAGGAACAGGCCGGTCTGCGATCACCTGCTGAGGGGGAATCGCAGCCGCGGGTCTCCCTCGCCACGCCGGGTTTGGCGCAAGAGCCGCGGTACCAACGCGGGGAAGCACCGCGGAGCGCTGTCAGCACCGCGCCGTGACACCGCTCGGCCGCGACCCCGCGCCCCAGCTGAGCCCCCTGGGCGCGGCCACACGCGGGAGCTGGGCCTCTGCGCTTGAACAACAGTCAAGTTTCACTTTCCCTCTGCTATTTCAATGGCCTTGAAATCCAATCTTTCCCGAAGGGGACGGGCGGCATAGCTTCGTACAGTCAGGAGCAAATGTTTGATGTAATTAGCTCTGTGTTGGGTTCAGCTGTGATGGCTGGGGTTATGCCTGGTCAGGATGGAGAGCACTGGGGTAGAGCAGGTGTTCAGCTGGTTTGTACTGCTAGTCCTCATATTTGTTTATAATATATTCTGAAATTCTTTGCTTACATACATGAATTTAGAGGAATAAAGTCACAGTCATACTGTACACAACAGGTTGTATGCGAAGATGATTTCCATACGAATGCCATAGTCCTTGTGGAGAAATTATGCCTCTTGAAATGTGTGACTAGAAGATTATTTTAGAAAGATTTGGTTCCTGTTGTCAGGTAGCAACAAACAGATCAAAATTTTGCAGCTCTTTCAAACTTACCTCTTCCCATTTAATCCATAGGCCTTGTATTCATATAATTAGTTCATATTTTATTAAAAAAAAAAGCTCCCACAGAATCTGGCTTCTCCTGAACTTCCTGTTAAGTAGGTCCTAAAAGTTTATTTGCAGTTAGCTAACAAAAGAAGATCGGAAGGGTTCCAAGTCTCTTATTTCTGGAAACTTGATTTCCAAGTGAGCAGAAAATTGAATAAATAAACTTCTCCCTTGGTCCATCACCTCAGTATTACGGAAAGCAGTAAACTAAAACTAGAAAGTTTCTCCAAAACTTTAAACCTGGAGCCTTTCTGACTAATAGCCAACCTTCCTTGGATTTGTCTGGATAGCTAAATACCTGCTCACCCACCCAAGTCCTGATTATTACCTTCAATAGGTATCAGGGATAAGGGGGTAGCATTGCAGGTCTTTCTTAGTTATAAAATTGAAAAGCAGCATAGAAACATCTTTTTTCTTTTCCTTGTGGCTACACTGAAACCATTCTGATAGAATGCTAACCTGATGCAATATTTTTTTCTTCATGTTGCAACACTGTCTATAAAAAAAAAATCTCTTTGATTTATGCCAAAAGTCACTGCAACACTGTGAGTACCTGCTCAGAGGTCTGACCCGTGCTAAGCACTTTGTCCTGAGTTGCCTTGCACCAGTTATAAAACATATGTAATGAAACAGCTAATTAAAGTGAAGTTCATTGGGATATATACATATTTTTTATGTAATCAGACTTCAGAAACCATTTACTATTGTGTTTTAAGTACAGATTTACTCCTCCTTCCTAAAAATACATTTTATTTCTCTTTGTTATGTTCAAACACTAATAAAAACTAAATCATAACTATCTGGGTAAATGAGGTAAATGAGTTGTAAGAATGGCAGCAAACCTTTTCAGCTCAAAAGGAAGACTAGAAAAACAAGAAAAAGTGGTGTCTCCTGTCACCTGTAGAATCTTCCACTTAAGGCCCGGAACATTTTACCGTGTAATGGGATTAGTACAGATTTATTTGTCTGAGTCTGCTGCTAGCAATTGCTTTTCTTCCTAGTCTTTATACTCTCCTGCAAATTTTGTTGTGCGTTTGTATTGCATTAGCAGAGAATCTGTGAGCAAGAGAAATTTTAGAATGGCTCTTGTGGGACCTCACAATATTTGAACTGCAAAAATAGTTCAGAATAGTCCAAAGGGGTAATGTTCAGCAGTTACATATGCAGTCAGAGGTCATTATTCCAAAAGAGGACAGCATTGCATAATAAGACTCTATTACAGGACTATAAATAAAGCTTTTGTAAATGGCCAAATTATTTGTAATGGCTGTGTACCCAATACAGGTATTTTTGTAAATGTTAGCCCACGTTCACATTATTAGTGAGCATCATACATTATCAATGTGTTTCTGACAGAAAATACAGTGGCTTTGCCCTTCTGGCAGGCACCTAATTCTTTTTCTCAATCAGTTTCTATATGGTACACTTTAAAAAATCCTACTCATGATTTTTCATAAGTACATATGGTTTCGTCCCACCCCTGTACTTGTCTCTCTCAAATCTCCTCAGATATACTAAAGATATATGAAGAGCTCTACTTGAAATAGTCCTAGGAAAAGACTAGAAGGAACACTTATGGTGTGATTTAACCGCAGCCAGCAACTAAATACTATACAGCTGCTCGCTCGCTCTCCACCCTCACCTGCACTGATGGGGTGGGAAGGAGAATTGGGAAAAGGTAAAACTCAGGGGCTGGGATATGAACAGACTGATAATCAAAGTAAAGTAAAATATAATATAATAATAGTGATTAAAAGGGAGGTAGCAAAAAGAGAGGAATAAAGCCCAGAAAAACCAAGTGATACACAAGACAACTGCTCACCACTTACTGACCAAAGCCCAGCCTGTCCCTGAGGAGCAATCAGCCCCTCCCAGCCAACTCCTCCCAGTTTATATACTAGGCATGACATTCTATGGTATGGAATATCCCTTTGGCCAGTTCAGGTCAGCTGTCCTGACCATACTCCCTCACGGCTTTTCGTGTGTCTCCTTGTTGGCAGAGTATGAGAAAAAGGAAAGTCTTTGACTTAGGGCAAGTACTGCAGAGCACCAACTGAAACATCAGTGTGTAATCAGTATGATTTTCCTACTAAATCCGAAATGCAACACTGTACCAGCTACTAGGAAGAAAATTAACTCCATCTCAGCCAAAACCAGGACAACTGGTCATCTAGCCTACCTTTGTATCTCAACCTAGTGTTAAAAAGCTTCAACAAATGAGACTTGACAACCTGCTTTGATAAGCCAATAGTAGGGAGAGGTAAGTACAGGACAGTATATTTCTTTATTCCTGAAGTAGTTAATTAAGATGACTCATTCTGTTTAAATATTTAAGAATGGAACTTGGGAAATATCCTTCTGTTAGGCTATGGCTGATCAGAGGATTTGGACTCCGTTGAACCACTTTTGAGTTTGGGAGCTCCATATCCTGCTGTGACACTGGGGAGGGTTTAGCTTCCAGGGCTACCAGTTTGGAAGAAAAGAAAGGGACCTCCTATGTCTTGATGTAAACATCCAATTAACTACTTTTTTTTATGGTGGTACTTGGATATCATATCTGACTCATCCCAATAAGAACTGTAGTAGATCTATTACGAACTGATGGTAATTGTTGGGCGCTCACTGTGGTTCATGGTACTCCAGTCAAGACCTCATCAGCCCTAAATCAATGGAAGCCTATACTTCACATGTTTTGTCATTGGCAATTCCCTTCATACTGCTCAGCACAATGTTTGCTTTTTTTGCAATAGTGCAACACTGTTAACTTCTGCTGGGTTTGTGATCCAGTATAACACCGTGTCCTTTTCTGCAGGGATGGACGCCAAATGAGTTCATAGAATCATTTAGGTTGGAAAAGACCTTTAGGATCATTGAGTCCAACTGTTAACCCAGGACTGCCAAGCCCAACACTGAACCATGTCCCTACGTGACACATCTACACGACTTCTAAATACCTCCAAGGACAGTGACTGGATAAAGGATGGACATGCTCCTTAGCCCTCCTTTTGTTGCTAATGTATTTATAGAAACATTTGTTTCTGTACATTTGTTTATTGAGTTATAAATTTTTATTGAGTTATAAATTTGTTTATTACGTTGGCAATATCAAGTCAAATTTCACAGGGACACAAGGTTACCTTTAAAAAAGGTGAATTGTTTAATGATTTAAAAACAGAATTGAAGCATTTTTAAAGCCTATAACATAAACATTTTACAGTGTTAGCAGTTATGACTTGTGCTTGGTATATGAAAATGAAATTCATTTTTTGATCATTGGAACATATGTTTGTAGTTAGGCTGAAGGAGAGGCAAAAAGTAAACAGTATAAGCAGTATGAGGTTATGGTTTAAGTCTGACTCCTTTTATTATCTAGAAGTGTTGTTTGTAACAAGGTGGATTTAAAAAAGAATTACTTTAAGCTAGACAATGCACTCCTGAAGTTAAGAGAAGAATCTAGTGATAGCTTTAAAATGTCCAAAGTGACCTATTCTGAGGTCAATGCCTGGTCTGCCTGTCCCTGCCCACACTCCCAGGACTCCCACCCACCCTGGCCATGGTTCAACACTCCATATCAACTCTCAAGGCCATCTATCACTGCCCCAGCAACACCACAGCCCTGCTTTTGTCTGGCCATGGGCCCCACTGTCCTGAACCCTGACCACCTGTGGGCTGACTTCCCAGTCTGGCTTCAGTGACCTTGTCACTATGGAGTCACTCAGTGATCACAAGGCTGTATCTGACCCTGGTTACCCTCACCAGGCCTGGCCCCCCTCACCAGGCCTGGCCCTGTTTCACTTCCTCAGCTCAACCTCAGAGAAGCCTCAGCAGTGCCACAGACAAGGCCAGGGGGCTGCCCTCAGTTGCTCCCAGCCTGCCCTCCTCCTTTGTGGGTGGTGAGAAGAGCCCTGGCTGGTGAGACCTTGCCTGCCATGCTGACCCACACAGGGAACCCCCAGCTCCCACCAAACCCTGGCATGGCAGACAGGTATGGAGAAGGCAGAGCCAGACTCTTGTCACAGATGAGGACTGCAGTGCCAAGAGGCAGCAGTAGCAAGGTGCACCCAGAGAATGTCCAGTTGGGCTTAAGCACGGCATTTTCCAGCATCAGGGTGGTGAGCACCAGAGCAGACTGCCAAGAGAGGTCAAGGAGTTTCGTTCCTGGAGCTTTTCAAAATTTGACAAGGCCCTGAGCAATCAAGCTTTGAAGTTCAGCTTGTTATGAATAGCAGGTTAGGCCAGATGAACGTCAGACACCCTTTCCAACCGGGACTGTTACGTGAATCTGTACACTGCTGAGAATGGCAAATTCTCTGAACATGCAGGCATTTCTACAGGAATTTCATTACAGCCCCAAAAGTCTGTTCCTCCTCGTGAATTCACCAACTTTCTTTTAGCTTGCTCCTCAGTTTCTGTCTCTCTTTCTACTTAGGCATATATTTGTTTGGCCAGTGGATTTTTTACTCAACTGCTGTCATACCCCTCATACTTTGTCCCTTTCTGCTAAGGATTTTATCCTACATGCCTTAAATTAAACTCTTGAGTGTCAACAACTAGTGATAAATATCTGAAGACTCCACAATTTTGGAATCCAGTGCCAGATTCATAGAGATACTAAAATTATTTCAGTACAATACATACATAACATATATATAAATCAATAAAATAGTAAGAATGCTTGTTACAATTTCTGTTAGTTGACATTACATTGTCCAGGTGTCACAGGAAAAAAACCATACCTGGCCTATACATGTGGTTGGATGTGTTGGAGCACTGTGGGAGAATGTCCGTACATATAGGGTACCGTTAGGAACTTCCATCAGTTCTCAAGCCAGATGTAAATTAGGGAGAGACACATGGAAGTAGTTGCATGCCTACATAGCCAGTCATTTGTGCTTTGCAGTATGCCTGGGGTAAAATGAGAATTTATTTCTCCCACATCCCAGTGTTAACATTTTGACTTGAAGACCATGTATTTGTTAATACAGTAAATCTAGCACAAGGCAAATAAAATATGTATGCCACAGTGCATCATGCTCTCAGAAGATATTCTGGCTGCATTTATGATTCAAGGAGATTAAATAATGCTCAAAATAAGCATCCTACCTTTTTTTCAGTGTTTGTCCAAATAGTGCAGTTTCCTAAGAATTTTTCCATTTCTACAAAAAAAACCCCAAAAATTGAACTGTAGAGGCCTAACTATTCACTTTTTGTCTCTTAATCCCACAAGAACAGAGCCAATGTGAGCAGTAATAGATTTCAAAGGTGATCTAAAATGCCTCTATTTTGAATACACAGACATTCTGGAGTGACTTAAATGACCTACATAAAGGCATGAAAAATCACATTCTTTCTCTTCAAACTATACAAAATGTTTCAAGCAAATCTTCCTTGAAATATCCTTTTAAAATTAATTTCCTGAATTGGCTGGTGATGAGGAATGTAAAATATTTCTAGATTCCCAAGCTTGCTTATCTGAAAGATAGGAAATCTTGATAGTGCTATCTTTTCTTCACTAATGCAAATGCCTATATTTAACACTGCACATAGTTTTAGAAATTTAGATGTGCACATTTATTTCAATCTCAAATATTTTAGAGATATTGTGTGGAAGACTGTTTCAGATTATTAGAATTGAAAATTTTTAGACTGTTTGGTTAACTCTCACAGAACAAATTTTTCAAATTTTCTTTTAGTTGCACTAACAATGAATTCAGAGCTGAAGATTATTCAATGCCAAAATTGAATTACTATGAGGTATGATTTATATCTTAATACTGGGAGTTCACTGTCTTGCTAGGAATAATAGGATTTAGAAAAAGGCCCCAAAACAGCATTTTTACTTGAATTACTCTATCAGATCTATGATCCAGCAATAAGAGTGGAAAATCTGCAAGACTCCTTCCATTGTTTATACAAAGAGGATGAATTCTTTCAGCTCTGCCAATTAAAGACAATTTCAAACAACTTCAGCACCTTTAGGATAATTTTGGAATAGTATTAGTGAGTGCACTTCCATTGTTTGCTTCCATGGTTACGTCTGGCACAGTAATTTTAACAGTTTAGCAACAGACAAAGCATGCTCAGAAATTTTCCTCTTTTAAATGCTTCCTTTCCTATACACTGGAGCCTGTGAAGGGCATTTTCTTTTCCATGTCCTAATTACCATAAATATTTTGAAGATTGTTCTACAAACTCTGTTTTGTTTTCCAAATCATTAGCAATGTTAAAAACAAACCTTCTGACAAAAATGTTGGCAGAAGCTCAAAGACAATTCCTAGTTCATCAGAAGCCCTTGCTTATGCAAAGGAAGCTGTATGGGGTCCTTTACATCCCGTGCACTTGCCAAAGCACGTGAGGCTTAGTGCATGACATTCCAGCCGTGTTTAGGTTTTTTATGTGCAAATCATTTAGACAAGACCAATTAAAAGTTAAAATCAGCTGAATCAGCAGGGAAGAAGGATGAGACAGTACTTTTTGAGGTAAAGAACTGCTAACAGTCTGCTTTAATAGGATTCTGTACAGACCACGTACAAGGAATCATGGGCATCAATGGCTATGATGCTTGGTTTGTAAACATCTGTAAAAGGCCTAGACAGCTTCCGCATGAGTACAAAATGCAAGGGAAAAAATAATAATAGAATCATAGAGTGGTTTGGGTTGGAAGGGACCTTAAAGATCATCTAGTTTCAACCCCCTGCCATGGGCAGGGACAGCTTCCACTAGACCAGGCTGCTCAAAGTCCCATCCAACCTGGCCTTGAACACTTCCAGGGATAGGGCATCTGTGACTTCTCTGGGCAACCTATTCCTGGGTCTGACCACACTTATAATGAAAAACTTCTTCCTAACATCTAATCTAAACCTGAAAAAGTAAAATCTAAAGCCAATCCTCCTTTTCCTATTACTACATGCCCTTGTAAAAAGTCCCTCTCCATCTTCCTTGTAGGCTCCCCTTTAGGTACTGGAAGGCTGCTATAAGGTTTCCCCGGAGCCTTCTCTTCTCCAGGCTGAACAACCCCAACTCTCTCAGCCTGTCTTCATAGCGAAGGTCCTCCAGCCCTCTGGTTATCTTCATGGCCCTCCTCTGGACTCGCTCCAACAGGTCCATGCCCTGCTTATGTTGGGGCCCCAGAGCTGGGCACAGTACTCCAGGGGGGGAATCATGAGAACAGAGTCAATGGAGAGAATCACTGGCCTTGACCTGCTCGCCACGCTTCTTGTGATTTAGCCTAGGATGTGATTGGCTGTCAGGGCTGCAAGT